TCCATTTAGCTGCACATATTGATTTGCATAATTATAAAAACTAAAATCAAATTTTGGGATGAAAGTTATAGGGTGAAGAAATTATTCAAGTTTCTTACTCCACCAAAGGCACGAACATAATTTGTAGGAGAATCAAAACAGAATTTAATTCAGTTATGTGAAAATCTATATAGGTTCAGTAATGGGAAGTTTTTTGTTTTTTCCACTATTTCCAAATTTCAATATTCAGCAGTCCTGCAGCAGTACAAATCCTTTACCCTTATTGTAGATTAGTATGATCTAGCAGATATAGACTAATTAATATTTGTATTAATTAGAGAAAAAAGAGGAGAATTTCCTTCAATTGGGAAGAATCATATCACTTAAACAGAACTGCCTTTTTCTACATATAAATCGAGTCTACAGGTTTCTATGAGCAAGGCAAAGAAATAATAAGAACTGCAATCTTCATATTTATTCAGTGATTTCATTCTAGAAGAGGATGATTTTTAAATTTATTTTTTTTATTGTTTATTGCAGTCAAATGTCTTCTTACTTATTATGTTGGAGTGGATGAGATTGAAGAATCTACATATCTGGTCAAATATAACAGTGAGTTAAGTCATTCTTTTTAAGTCTCAAAAATTTCCTTCCTTCCTCCCTCCCTTTTCATTTCCTTCCATCAAAAATATTTCATTGTCTTCAATCATACAATTTTAATCCCTTTATTGTATGTTTTTTCTCTCTTCAGATTTTTTCCTGATTATTTGTGTAAATAGTATTTCCTAGTACATAATTTTATGCAAATTTTCTTAAGTTGAAAGATTGCTTTGAAATATTAATTGAAGTTTGAAAAGAGAGAGGGGAGGGTAATAAAACATGAATGGAAGTTTTCATGTGAATCTCTTTATTTTTTCTGATGTGTTAAACTTTCACTGTTTCTTTAATTATTATAAGGGAAAAGTTACCAAACAAAACTATACTAAAAAGGTTTCTGAAAGATTAATGAAGGATCAGTATCTCCATTCTAAATGTAGGGACAATTTCTTTAGGAATAAAGATGCTGATTTATTGCAAGTATATTTCCCATAGACAAGACTCACCTCAATGATTAAACTATATTCAAAAACTGAATCAAATGAACACTCACATTTGCAAATGCTGAGACACATAACTGGAAGATGGATGTTCTTTTGGATAAGTAGACTGAAAAGTTTATTTCAATCAGAAAAGCTTCCCCTGATGTTCATTAGTTCTTTGCAGAGAGATTGCTGAATGCAGAAGAATTAAATCAAAGCATACAGAGTGATGCAATGAAAGGTCCAGGGTTTTTTTCATGGATTATCCAATAAGTATGCCTAAAATGCTGACATTTGCAAAATTATTTTGGTTTATTGAAAGATTTTCACATTCTCCAGATATATTTGTGGCTTTTTTTCATCTCCTTTCCAGAACAACTCTAATGCAGGAAGTAGGAGAAAACGAGACTGAAGTGATTGAATTTATCCTCATTGGCTGGTCCAATAGACCGAAGTCAAGGATGGTTTTAATACCAGTTTATATTGTTTCCTATTTTCTAGCAATTGCTGGAAATGGTCTCATTGTCTTAGTAGTCATATGTGATCCACGACTCCACAACCCCTTGTACTTTTTCCTATGTAATCTGTCTTTTATTGACCTTGGACTC